AGTGAAAGTTTTTTCCTCTCTGTTTTACTAGCAATGAAAAGAACGTTAAAGGAAAAACACCAAAGTTGATGAGGAATATTTTTCCATGGTGAACGATGTAATGTCTTTCAGTAGAATTCTCTATTTAGAAAGCTAGGTGCCTTCAAGCAGTCACTGGCGTAGATACCTGCCATGTCTTACATAACCACTGCCCAGAGGACATAAATCATCTGTGAATATTTTCAATATACCATCTTCTCCTAGAACACCCTGCATGACTCAAACACTGCGATAGGGTAATATTTTAGGTGTTTTGGAGCAGTGGTTCTCAAACATTAAAGGGAGGAATAGCTTGGAGTTTTATTAAACTTTCAGAGGCTGGGGCTATGTACCCAGGGACTGTGGTTCTGTGTGTGTGTGTGTGTGTGTGTGTGTGTGTGTGTGTGTATTGCAAGAATATATTCTCTGGGTGGGGAGAAGGTTGTTTTCTAACAAGCAACCCAGATGACTCAGATGCAGGTAGGTCACTGGACCTTACTGAGAAACAGCATATCTAGAACCTATACAATGTTAAAATTCTTGGCCAAAAGAATTAGGAATTGAAGTCACAATATTTCTATTTGTAAAAGTTAAAAAATAATTGGTTACTCCACGAAAAAGATCAGGCATGTTTCCTATTTCCCTCAGGTTTTCTTATTATATCTGAAACACATCCTCTGAGATAATTAGGGGGGGGGGGTAATATTATCCTGACTTTGTTGATAAGGAAATTAACATAGGTTAAGCAATTTACCAAAGGTTATTACAAAGCTAGTTGGGTCAGGTCTCTAGACTTTTATACAGACTTCAAATGAGATGGCATCCCTTCAGATACTCAAGTCAAAAAGCCTTGAGAAGTATGTGAAGAAAATATAAATATGTTTCCCGATCTAGGTTTAGATAGTTTTCCTCATCTCTCTAATTGAAAGTTCTCCTTCAGCAGGCAACTCTAAGCTAAATGAAGTTTCTAAGTTTCTACCTTCAAGCACTGGCTCTGGGGACCCATTATGGAGATGCTTGTAACCCATGGTTATGCTATTGGGAGAAAGAAAAATATATGGTCCCCTATGGAAAAACATCAGCACATATTTTCCCTGGTAGGGGACTTTGGCATTAACCAGGATTGACACAACTTGAGTTTTTAATTCACTTTAGATCTAGCTTGGACCTAGAAAAATGGAAAAACAGGTGTCCCTTAAAATCCCACCAATGTTGCATACTTTCAGGAGAGGAAGTACACAGACTTCTTTGATTTCACAAACTTCCATTGGGACATCTTGGCTCACTGTCTGGCTGGGTTTTGTGTATCATATCATGAGGTGTTGGAGGGAAGATAAAGACTCTTTGACAGTGGAAAATCACTCTCATCTAGAGCCTTCTCCTCCTGTGCCCTGGAGGGAAAACCTGCCTTCTCCTTCTTGAGAAAGAGTCCAGATACAGTGGACGAGACAAAGAAAGACATATTTAACCAAATCCGTTAAGAAACCCTAGCAGAAACAATGCATCTTTTTAACAGTTGAAGATGTTATGAATAGACAGAATGTTTTGTGTGGGGAGTCTGTCTTGGGCTCCCAAGTGAGAAATGCTGTTTGCCATTAGACACTAGTTTAATTCTAAAGCTCCTAAGGACTGTGTTCATTTGCCAAAATCCTACTGCTCTGTGAACTACAAAAAATGATTTACATGAATCACTGGGAACATCCAATAACAACAACAACAACAACAACAATAAAAATAGTCTTTTCCCAGAGTACCCCTCACTCCTAAGCATTCACCAACTGTCTCAGCTTGGGCTGCTGTAGCAAAATGCCATAGACTGGGTGGCTTATCAGTCACAGACATTCATTTCTCATGGTTCTGGAGGCTGGGCATCTGAGATCAGGATGCTGCCATGGTCCGGTAATGGCAAGGACCCTCTTTCAGGTGCAGACATCTAACTTTTCATTGTTATCTTCAACATGGCAAAAAATGAGGGAGCCAGCTCTCTAGCCCCTTCTTATAAGGGCACAAATCCTCTTGATGACCTAATTACTTCCCAAAGGCCCTACTTCCAAATACCACCACACCGGGGCTTAGGGATTCAACACATGAATTTGAGGTGAGGACATAAACACTGAGTTCATAATACCAACCTAAACCAAAGGGATGACCATGGCTTGGGCAGGTTTTCAACCGTATCCCAAGAAGCCCTGTTATTGCCTGTACCTGAGCCCAGCTCCCATCTTTCTTTACAATAGCCTGTAATTCCTCCTAAGGCAGAAGGAAGTCTTTGGGAGACCTCAGGCTAGTTTTGGCCACTCTCCATGTAAGGGCTTCTTCAAAAATATTTAAAGAATGAATGAACCACTGGGCCGCAGACCCGGGTGAAAGAATGTTCAGTTGGTTCTGACATTGTTTTCTGATATTCTGTCCCCACTAAGAGGTCTCCTCTGGAGGAAGACTAGTGATAATAAACAGCTCTTTACACGGAGACAGCAGAATACCCACTTGGAAGTCCTGGGGGGTATTAACTACATTAATCATCTCATTCAACATCTAATGAGAACCTCAGTCTCAGTCAGCTATTTTCGATTTCAAAACACCATTTGCCTTGTGCAAACCAACCAACCAAACAAAAAAGTCAGAATGACGGGGAATATGTAAAAAATAAAAAACTTTATACCAAAGTGAAATGTGACTTGATATTACCATTTCTTTGCTTTGGGATGGGATGGTAGGAATACCTTGTTAAATGTGTTCAAAAAGTCCCCAACCACAGAAACTTCACCATTAAGCTGAACCCTAACACCCCACGGACCGGCATCCAACCTGGATAGTGAATATGTGGCACCTTAATAGTGTCTGCCTTGCAGACGTGGCCTGTCTGCACTTGGCAAGTGACTTCTTGCTTGGAGTGAGAGTCAGAGACCTGCCTCGCTTGCGCATCATTGAATTAGAGCTGCTGCTGCTGCAAATGCACACAGAGGGTGCACACTAGAGCATCTCTCTATTGAGGGCCCCAGGATGGGTCCTGTTGGCCAGTCACACAGGGACTGATTCCATTCTGCCAGCTGTCACTCTCCTCTCATGTAAAAAACTGACTGCAGTAGGATTTTTTTTTTTCTTTTCCGGGCAAAGTGAGCTCGGTAGCTCGCTGGGAAGCCCCGGGGCCCTCTGAGAAGAGCAGCTCTGGCTCTGGCTCATCCAGGCAAGGAGCAGGAGGTGCTGTTTCCTTCAAGACCGGCTCACCTCCCTCCCTCCGTGTTTAATCACGAGCATTTCCGAGATGCACTGGGTAGCCTGCTGTAGGACCTCTTGGGCCTTGGAGTGGGAGAGTGGGATGAGCCCTCCCAGGAATGAGACGATTCCTCTTTGATGGACAACACGATGAGGGCCACTCCTCTAAGGGCAGGCTCTCCACTTTGATGGGAATCACTATTGCTTTAAAATAGAACTGATTTCTTTAAATGCTCCACAATCTTCTCAACTCATTCAGTGCACTGTAATCTCCTCTATCACCTGCGTTTAGAAAGGAACTGCAAAGTGTGTTATGGGTTTGTCCTCATTCCTTCCAGACAGTGTAGATGCATCAGGGGACACACTTGTCTGCTTCTGCAGACATGGGTGTGTCTGTCCTGCCCAGCACCCATGCTTGAGGAGGTCCAGGACATCCTGGGCTATGTCAGCTACTGATTTGCCAAGGGAAAAAGGCAAGAAGTTCCACCCCTGGATTGTCTCACATGACACAGCTGCTGCACATATATTTAGAGTTGGGGAGGCCCAGCAGTTTGGGCTTATTTCTGCAGAGTAAGTGAGGCTAAGGTGATACCCAGATGTGCCATGCACAGGCCCATCCCTAAAATATGCATTTCTAGATCAACAACACCAGAGGAAGCCCCTGACCCTAGACCTTCTCTTCTTATTTTTGGTTCTGTTCCATAGTATGAGTGTCCTCATGCAAATGGGGGTGGGTATATAGATACAAACATACAATTGGCCCAATGCATATCCTTGCAACTAGCTGCCCTTTGGGCCAAGGGTGCTCACAAAGGCATGAATATGGGGCAGAGGACCAGGAAGGCCTGGGAAGTGGGCTTTTGTGGCTGTTGGGGAAGGAAACTTAAGATCCTAAGAATCCAGCAAAGGGACTAGAAGGAGGGTTCTGGCTCTTTGTACCATGGGCTTCTCATCTTGTGAAGAGAAACATACCCAGCCAAGGATGGCCAGCTCAGGGGCCTCCAAAGCACAGAGCCTGGGGCAGCCACTTCCCAGGGTCTTAGGACAGTGCTGGCTATGAGCAGACCCCAAAATAGGGGTCTATGGGGTAGGCCTACAGTGTTTGGGCCTGCATAGCTTCATTTGTAAATTGAGATGGTTTGGAACCTGGGACTGTCAAACTCCTCCCCAGACCCAATAGGGGATTCAAAGATCCAGTTTGTCACTATTGATAGCTCAGTCTCAAGCACTGGATAAAGATAATACAAAAGAAAAGAAAATACTAAAAAAATTCAAATGAGTATATCAGTCTTCAGTCTTAGCCTCTCTAGCTCAAGTGATGAATAATGAGATAGTCTGGTTAATTAATGATCTGGTTAATAGAGTTGTTAGATTTATCTTTCATAGGTGACTAATTATCAGAGCATAATAATACACTTAACCTCACAACCACCATCAACAGTCATTGGACTGTGAAAAATTCAAACATCTCCAGTTTTCCAAGGACCATGAAACCACCTGTATGCAACAGAACTGTGTGTAATTAACATATAATTCATTATGGAAATATGGATGTACCAGGTAGGTCAGACGATTTAAATTGATAATATCCAATAGTTAAAATTTCAAATGCCATGTCTGAGGACAAGACAACCTCTTCCAGGTGTTTTGATTTGGTCTGTTTCCCTCCTGATGAATTTTGATGGAAGCAGGCCACACCAACCACTCCTGAAGTTCATTTGGTGTCATGAGACAGGGAAAGCCCACTCACAGTTAGTAGCACTGACCTGTCCTTTCATATCTGGAGCAATGGGAATGGTGGGCCAGATGGTTGAGTAGACGCCAAAAAACACCAGCCAGATCAGCATGCTTCCCCAGACAGCCAGATGACTGAACTGCAAAGGAAACACACACTCAGGTGGGGCTTCTCTGCTATACAGGAGAGCCACCTGAACTCCACCTGCAGCAGAATCCCTGTGGCCAGGCCACTTTTCTTTATGGGAATATTTTGACTAGTCACCAGCCATTGGAAGGTTCCATCTTGTAATTATCTTGTCTCAAAATGTTACACGATGAATTCAAAGAACTGGTGGCTGCAAACTACCCTGAAGATCCAGGTGCTTTCACCACCTCAGCTGACCTTCTAGATCCATCCCACAGTTTTAGCCAGCCCCTTGCTGTTCCTCACCAGTGTTTGCTCTAACTTGGAGCTATGTTTCCTGAATCCAGTAAGAATGCACTGAATGGACAGAAAGAACAAGATGTTCTTACTTATTGAGACTTTAATTATTACTTTCATTTTCCAAAGAACTTTTTTTTACAAATCTGGGCTGGATATTACATCTTAACAATCCTTTAAAAATCTGCTGAATTGCTGGCTTTTTCTTCTTTGCTCTTTTAATATGATGACCTTTGACTTCTTCCTTTCTTTTGCACTCCATGATATAATCTATCATCAAGGTCTTTTAGCTTTTTAAAAATAATACCTCTGGGTTCTGACCATTTCTCACTACCTCTTCCTGCAACAGTCCAGGCCAAGCCACCATCACCTCTCCTCTGGATTAATTGCCATTGTCACTTAATGGATTCCCTATTTCCACATTCATCTCCAGCCTTCTCCCTCACCTTCCCTGCATAGATTTAGGATCCTATTTAAGCAGCAGTGATAGACAAAAATGAAACATGGGTTATGACCCTGAAATGTGGCAAATCACCAAAATGTCTAAAATTGGGGAATAATTAAATGATGGGATACTGATCAAACTTAATACTCCTGCATCATGAACAAAGATTTTGTAGTTGTATACTTTAAGGTATAAAAAAATGGGAAAATGTTCATGATATATTTTTTTGTTGTTGTTCATGATATATTTTTAACTGAAAAAAGGATCACAAAACTATATGTTCTGAAATGCACTATCTTCTTAAAAATACACACATGGAGCAAAGTCTGTAATATTAAAAGCATTAACGGTAACTGTCTCTTGTCTATCAAGTTATGGAAATTAAATATTCTCCCTTTTGTCCTTCTGTATTTTCTGTGTGTATGTGTGTGTGTGTGTTTTACAACATGTGTATACATTTGAAATGAGAGGACTGTTAATAGCTTAGAGCTGTTAGTAAGTGCCAAGCAAATGAATCATCAGAAAATTTTGGATTGCAAATTTGCCCTGATAAAGATCAAATGACAATTTTTACATGCAAAACTTAAATGAGATAGCTACATAGTGCTGATTGGTTTCCCAAGGCTGAAAAGGATTCATGCTATCAAAATATCTATAGTGGATAAAGAAACAATTCCAGAGAAAACTTACTTTAGTCCAAGCTGTGGTCTCCAAACCAGCTTTCAGACACACAGTGACAACAACATACTGTGAAAACAAACAGGAATTGGGGAAAATGTATTATTCTTGGTGACTTATTTTTACTTTCCAGGAGAAATCATAAGTCTCCCTCCAGAGGCAGTGGGAGTTACTTTTGTGCTTTTCTTAGCTTGGAAAGAATTGGGGAAAATCACCTTCTTCAGTGTTGCTTTTTTCACAGGTAGATGTGAAACTGTCATTTGAAGAATGGGGTGATCTATCTGGTAATCAATCACCTGTCCAGAGATCTGGACTCTGCAAAATCTTTGCTAGGGAATGAGGGTAAGCATTTCACAACCATTTTGAGCTTTAAGGAATCTACACTATATAGTTTAAAGATTTAAAACAAATAATATGAAGGAAGACCTTATATAAAAGGTTTCCAGAGGCAGAGCCCACACATATGCCACTTAAGAATGGTTCCGTAAAAAGAGAGATAAACTTACCGTATAAACAATATTTCCAACAAATAAATAGTCTGTGGCATGGCCACTGGCCAACGGAGTATCTGAAAAACAAAGAAGTTATTACTAACTTCTGGGGAAGAGCACTGTAACCTGTTTTGTTCAGAACATAAAAGCAGAACTTTAGAAACATTTATCAAATTGTAGGAGAATTTCAAAAATTGCATTATCTGTCATTCTAATGCCTCTTCTTTCTAACTGATTTTTTTCATCTTATATTTTCTCTAAATGAAGCAAACAAAATCAGGTTTCCAACAAACTGAACCAAACACTTAAACTGTATTGAAATTTACATTTTTATAAAGATTAGTTTAAACAAAGAGAAGAGTAAGAACATAATAATCTATCCTTATTAATAACAATATTAGACTTTTTCTGAGTGTTCTTTTACTATTTACTATTTATTTTGCAAACTGGAACTATAGGCTAATAAAAGAAGGTAACTACATGAATACAAATCAATTCATAATTATTGAACTCAGAAAATATGGGGGGATATTCATTATTCACGTTCTCATATGCAACTGCAAGAACTTCTGAAGTCTACAAATTGAGAGAATGCAAACAATCTAATGTGAGACATCTAGAAAATACAAACTAGGATTTTGAAGCTTTAATTTTATCTTTTCCACTTTTTTCTTTTTAAGGATGATTATTACAATGTATAAAACAATCACTAAGGCTGAGCTTTAATAGAATTGTCTAACTTCCATCAACTAGCCTGCTGTGAAAATTCTGATTATTATCTTGAGGGATCAGAGCCTGTTTTGATATCAGGAATGGTTTCTTTTTTTTTTTTAATTTTTTTTTAATTTTTATTTATTTATGATAGCCACAGAGAGAGAGAGAGAGAGGCAGAGACACAGGCAGAGGGAGAAGCAGGCTCCATGCACCGGAAGCCTGATGTGGGACTCGATCCCGGGTCTCCAGGATTGCGCCCTGGGCCAAAGGCAGGCGCCAAACCGCTGCGCCACCCAGGGATCCCCAGGAATGGTTTCTTTAGATGACACTGCTAATCTCCTTTTATAATCAAATTTAGATTTGTGGCCTACAGGCCAAGAATTATATGGATTTTTGTGTTCGAATTTCCAACCCAGTAGCTGCCATACATACATATTTGGCCTGACTGATTTACCCATTTGCTTGTTGAAGAATCTGACTCTTAACTAAAGATTCAAGATCTGTTTAGTTTTCTAAAACACCAAAATGACCACGTAGCATCATAGGCAGAATCTGGTCATTGTTGGGCCATAGACTGAGCTCCAGGGCATGGCCTTTCTCCTGATTCTAGTAGGTAAATTTGTGACTATAAGGAAAGATGAACTGCAAAGCAACATTACGGGCTGTATTAGTTATACACCTAATGGGACTGCTGTTGGGGAACATAAGAGTTATCCAAGGAGAACAGAGAGAGATGGCCACTGACTTACAAAGGAATGATCTCGAAGCATAGGGAAGAGATTTGAAAATCCGGCAGAATGTCATTAAAAGGGAAGGAGAGAAAAAGTTCAAAACGCCTATTATTCTATTCTTGAGCAATAAAGAAGAATTAAATATTGAAACATGCTATAACATGGGTGCACCTTGAGAAACTTGGGCTAAATGAAACAAGTCAATCACAAAAGCCCATCTTTTGTGATTCCCATTGTAGAATTCTACTTCTTGAGCTGTTCAGAATAGGCAAACCTACAGAGGAAGAAAGTAGACTTGTGATGGTCAGGAACTGGGAAATTTTTTTGGTGGGGGGGAAATGGGAAGTAACTGCTCATAGTTATGGGGTTTCTTTTGGGGGGCAATGAAAATGCTCAAACACTGATTAAGGTGACAGTTGCACAATTACATGAATATATTAAAAACCACAGAACCGTACCTTTTAAATGAGTGCATTGTAGGGTATGTGAATTATGTATTGATAAAACTGCTATAAAAAAATTCAGTTCCTCAGTCACACTTAGTCACATTTCAAATGTTCAATGGCTACAGGTGGCTACGACTACTGTATGGGACAGCACAGATACAGAACATCTCCACTGTCACAGAAAGTTCTACTGGACATTGCAGGCCAGAGTGGCTATGTTGGAAGTGGAAAGAAGTGATAGGAATTGGCACATATTTTGAAGGTAGAGATGATAGGATTTAGGATTTGGATGTGGGATGGAAAAGAACATGAGGAATCAATGGTAATTTAAAGTTTTTTCCTGAGTACCTACCTAGGTCAACAGTGATAGCATTTACCTGATTCTGGTCATATTAATACAGGAATATTGATTAAAAGAGTGACACTAAAACTTGGTACCAAGTGGTCAACACTTTAAATTCACAATTGGAAAAACAGATAAGGAAGAAGCATGATGCTATTAAGAGAGGAACAAAAGTATACTGAGAAAAATTATGTGGTAAGAAGGACTCAAGTTGGTGGGGAAAAAATCCCAGCAATGAGCCTTAGAAGACTGTATTCCAGCCCTGTCCTCTGGTTCCAGCTCTGCCATTATTTAGTTCCTTAAAATGTTTGGTTCTAAGTCTTTTCCCACATCTATAAGATGGGGATTTTATTAGGTAAAATGACTAAATTATCACCAAAGTTGCTCTAAGACAGAAAATTCTTTTTTTTTTTTTTTTTTTTTAAATTTTTATTTTATGAGAGAGAGAGAGAGAATGAGAAAGAGGCAGAGACACAGGCAGAGGGAGAAGCAGGCTCCATGCACCGGGAGCCCGACGTGGGATTCGATCCCGGGTCTCCAGGATCGCGCCCTGGGCCAAAGGCAGGCGCCAAACCGCTGCGCCACCCAGGGATCCCTAAGACAGAAAATTCTAAGACTACAAGGTCTGCTCTCTTCACTGGTACATCAGGGTGTGTAGTGGTAGAAATCAGAAAGTTTCAGATCTTTTTTTGTTCACTTTAGCTCAGGGTGGATTTCCTAGTCTCAGCCCATGTTCACAGATGAAGAACAATGACCTGAGTGCCCTGAAGTTCTATGTACACTAAGCCCCAACAGAGTCCAGAGTCAATGCTGACCAGATGTTAGAGTTAGAAGGGGTATGAGACCAAACTGAAAATCAAAGTTTACAATCGTGACTTGACAATTTTTGAATATCTTTTTAGTACTAATATTTCTAATGTTGGCTGATGCACATACAAAAACATACCTGCATACTTTAGATAAGAAAACTAGGGCAGCAAAGAGGAGTTAAATGACATGAAAAAGGTCATGCACTTGGTAAAGAACTGTAAATAAGAGTTTGTTTTCATTACTGAGCTAGAAAAATGGGTCCCAAAGAATAAAAGAAAACTTGGAGAGGAAAAAAAATTATATTAAAAAGTACTCCTTTGCAGGATATCTGGGTGCTCAGTGGTCAAGCATCTGCCTTCAGCATAGGGCTGGATCCCAGGGTCCCGGGATTAAGTCTTACATTGGGCTCCCTGCATGGAGCCTGCTTCTCCCTCTGCCTATGTCTCTGTCTCTCTCTCTCTCTGTCTCTCATGAATAAATAAAATCTTAAAAAAAAAAAAGGTACTCCTTTGAAATGTCAAAACCTAATGAGGTGAGAATTATGGAGGACATAAAATTAGATTTCTGTGACCACAGAGGAAATAAGCACAGTGTACAGACCTGAGAAACAGTAGCAACCTCCAAAACCTGAGTTAGGGTGGGCACTTCATCAGTCCTGAGGATCTCAACTTAGTCACTACTGACACTTTTCCTGATTATTCTTTGTTGTGAGGGACTGTCCTGCGGATTGCCAGATGCTTGGTGCACCCCTGCCTCCACCCAGCAGATGCTAGGACTACCCACTCCCTAGGTGTGACAATGAAAACCTTCTCCAGACATGGCCAAATGTCTCCCAGGGGTCAAATAGCCTGGTGTGAGAACCAAAGCAATGATAGAAAGACAAAAGAGGAACTGGAAATATAGAGGTATACAGAAAACACCCTGAAGGGAAAGTGTCTAACATACCAGGGAACCCTCTTCTCTCTGGTCAGACTAGGAGAGGACGAGGCAACACCTAGCTGTCCCACCATGGGCACATGGAACAGCACCAGGCTTTAGCACAAAGTGAGGCAACCCACAAGGCCAGATGGCCTTTAGAAGTGGGCCAACTCTGGGATTACCTGTGGGCCTCTGAGAGCTCACCCAGGATGACAGGACCTCCATAGGGACCCTTAAGACTGCTGAACACTCTGCAGGCAACTTGGCGTAGAGAGAAAGCAGAGAAGACTAAAAGACATTTTCCAACTGTAGCTTCTAGGGTTTTCTAATGCATTAATTTCCACCTTGTCAAGAGAGTAAAATGCTCACTGGCATTTTACTCTGGTATTTAATATACGATGATTACACTTGCGGTCATCTGAATTCGCTTAAAATAACTTTTAGAGAAGACAGGATCAACCTTTTATTTCTGTTCATCGTTTTGGAAGGATAACTCAGACTGCATTCTTGTTTTCTGCTGAGGAAAGAGTACCTCCTGCCCCACTCCAAACTAATACCATCAGGAAAGAAATTATTCCATGAAGGAGAAACCCCTAAACCAACTTGGGACCGCCAAAAGCCTCAAAAAGATAGCATCCCTTATACAAGTCACAAATCCTCACTCTGCACGCCTTGTTGGGGAAATACCCATGGAGTGGATTGCTCTCTTGCGGGTTATATTTCATCTGTGTTAGAAGCGAATACTTGTGGGCATCGTCTTTGTTAAATCTTGCCAATAACATACTACTGAAGAAAAGATGAGAAGTCCTAAGAAAACATTTGTGAATGAATGTATCAATGGGCTATAGCTTGCTGGTAGTTCAAATATGGAAAAGCCCATTTAGACTGTCCAGTGTTTTCCTGAAGCATGCTGCTGACAAATGACTTCTTCCCACTTTGCCTAAACTTATTAGCACTGTTAAGAATCCAACAATCCACTAAGGAAAACATCTTTTCTATAGTTGAGCTGTTATTTTAATCAGATATTTAAAATTGCAAGTGATTTTTAAATTTTTTTTTGGAAGGGAAAAAGTAACCCTCAAACCCAGATGAGTGGTCGAGTTCCCCCAGCCAGC